ACCCTCCCAGAGCTAGTAATTGTATTAATTGATCTCTCATTTTAGATAAAGACTCCAAAGAGTTACTGGAGGTGAGAATGTCGTCGCAGTATGTCTGATTTTGCAGAATGAAAGACGCCGCTGGGAAGTCAGCCTCGTACCTGTGTGCTAGTTCAGTCAGACACCTAGTGGCTAGATAGGTTGAGCATTTAAAACTATATGTAACTGTATTTAGTTCAATACACTTGATGTTTTCATGTGGTGAGTCGCGCCATAGTATAAGTTGCAGCGAACGTTGCTCTGGATCCAGCAGAATGCACCTAAACATTTGTCTCAAGTCTGTACTGAAAACAAAGGCGCCTAACTTGAACAATAATAAAATGTAAAATAGTTCTTTCTGTACTGTAGGGCCATTGAGTAACAGATCATTGAGAGATCTAAACTTATTTGTTGACATTGAGGCATCGAATACTACTCTACACTTAGTGGTCTTTTTGTCGGGTCTCAAGACAGGATGATGAGGCAAAAAGTAGGTAGGATCACTAGTGAGGTTATATTTGTGAATATCAACATATGTACCATGTCCTAATGCAACATATTCATCAATAAAGGCTTTATATTCTTTGAGTAACTCAGGATCATTTTTAAACCGTTTTTCTAAGCTATCAAACCTTTTTAAAGCTTGGTAAATTGAATCACCGAGCAAATTATTAACTTGACTGAGCGGGACTTTCAACGGTAAGCTGACCTGAAATTGGTTGTTGTTCAGTTGTGTGGTCTGTTGAAAGTGTCTTTCAGTTTCCTCAAACTCAGATCGTTTTTCTGGGAAAATTTCAGGCACGGAATCGGTCTTCCAAAAACTTTTAATTGTGTCATTAATATCAGAGTCGCAAGATTGACAAAATAGAGAAATAGATTGATTTTGTGCTTGCTTGTAGTGACATATGTTTGGAAGGCTACCTGCATAGACTACACCAAACTTGGTGTATAATAGATTAGGGGATGCATGCTGGTGCTCTGGATCGACTGGGCTGCCAGGTGGTGATGGTCTGTTGACATGATGCTCAGGCTGGGGTAGTAATGAAATAAGCGCAGGCAGATGAAGATGCAGGGTTCTTCGAAGCTTGGTTCACAGAAGCATTGGCAACAGACCTTCGCTGTTGACCGTAGACTGGCTCAGCTCGCTGTATAGGAGGTGTATTGTTACCTCGGCTTGTTGACTCTGCATTCTCGAGAGCTAGGGCTCGTTTTTCATTGAATAGTGGAATTTGAATCACTGGTAATTTAATTTTTTGTTCGGATTGATTATGGCTTGATCAGTGGCTTAAGTTCTCTTTCAGCAGCGTTAGAGCATTGATATACCTTTCTTCAAATTCATCAGCTTTGCTCGTTGACTTATCTCCCAATGCGAACGCTTCTTGACAAAGGGTTTCAAATTCAGCATAGGTCGAAATAAGTCTTGACTCCAAGACTGCTAAAGAAGCTTTGGAAGCTGCATTTTCGTCAATAACTTTGTTAATGCTTGCTGCTTATATGCTCTTCTTTCTTTCGTCGTGATAAGATTATCGTCTTCAGTATCACTTTTTCCCATGATGAAGCCAGATTCCGAACAATGTTGTTAAAATTAAATAAAATAACACAATTTCTATGCAAAGATGAACGATTGACTCGACAAGAATTAACAAGAACACAAAATGGCGAATTTAGCGTTGTTCGTGTCACGTTTTTGACAACGAAAACGAATCGAAACGGAAATAGTGAGCAGAGTTGTTCCGTTTTGTTCGTTCATAGGACGAATAAATATAGAAAAAAAATTGGTGCAAATGTTACTCGTTTGATGTGAAGTTGGTGTCGTCGCCTTCCTTTTTCTTCTCGGTCACTCCCGGCGGCCTCCGAATTACCTCGAGCGCGACGAAAGACGAACGAAGCCAACTTGACGAGATGCACAGGTGCACTTTGTCTTGTTTACACCTAAAATGTATGTATTGTCGAAAAAGACAAAATGGCCGACCGCTTTGCTTCTTTCTTGATGCTGATTGAGGTTGTTGGTCCAACAAATGAATGCTCGATTGGCCCAAGTATGATCCACCAGAAGCAGCTTCGAAGCGGCAGAATCGCTGCTGTACCAATTCGTGCGAGTAGTGTGATAACTCGTGGCACGAATGTTGAAAACCACGTGTTGTTGCACTCCTTGTATTTCACTTATTTACGGCTCGTAAGGACCATGTTTGTTGTGGATAACTGAGTGGACTGTAGGTTTTGTGGTTCTTGTGAAATATAAACACTATCACTATTACTGGGTGTTTATTGATATTTATAGAAAGTACAAAGGTTTTTACAGGCACAGCGATGGAAGCGAATTTTGTGAATGAAAATTATGACTGGTTTAAGACCTAGTGAATGATTTAGAATGAATGACATTAATGTAGGTTTGCTACACCACGATACCTTGCTATAAAAACGCTCCGTTGTTGTCTCTCGAGCTCAGAAGCGAGCGAGTCGCCGTGTCGGACGGAGCGCTCCTGCGTAATATACGCTCTGAGTTCATTTCTGGTTTTATTAGACAAAGAGCTATAAAGGAATCAATGGCTAAAAGCTGTATTTCCTACTTAGAAGCTTCAAAGTTACATCCATCTGTCTCTCGAATTTCTTATACAGATGCATTGCTCAATCACTCTTAATACTTTTTCCATCCAGCATCAACATTCTTCACCTAAAGCTATAAAAAGTACTTCATAAAAAAAAACTGTTTTTATTAAACCAAAGTCTCCACCTACACTTAGCAAAGGATATGACAAATCAGCTCAACAAGAAATCTTAAGGGATTTTAATATTCTCCAACCCTCTAATGGATGTTCATTAATGAACAAAGAAAATGAAAACCCATTGGTAATGAGTAATTGATTCAATTATTTCTCTTTCAAAATTTCTGAGTCAAACGAATGATTATACATCGTCCAACACTGCCTTATTAGTTTCTGCAATTACTCATTACCAAATGATGGTCAAAATTCTTCAATGGAATTGTCAAAGCATCACTCCTAAAAAAAGTGATCTTGTTTACTTATTAAAAAAAATATAAACCTTATGCCTGTGTTCTTCAAGAGACATAGTTGAAACCAGGATCTTTATCGCCCTCATGTCTTCTCGCCAAAATCCCTGATTTAGCTTGCCTGTCTGAGTTCCTCTTCGCTGTTGTTTGCACTGCTTCCTGCCTTGCCGATATAATTTTTTTTATTTAAGTTTTCGCTCTTTCAATGTCGCTCGCCGGCTTCGCCTCGGCCTGTTTATTATCGTTCATAGAATTTCTTTTCTTCGGCCGTAATGGACCAATATATGTAGTGAACTGCAGGATTATGATGGGTAAGGGACTTAATAAATAAACTCGCGAGGATTGCACGTATAAAATTTTTATTTTTGGAAATTTTATAATTCGCGTACAATAAAAACGGAAAAAAGAAAATGACAAATCTTGCTCGAGAAGCCTGCTTGAGACCATATATAGCTTTGTTTAATTTAAGAACCTTTTTATCATCTTTACAGACATAGCCTGCAGGTTTTTGCATGTATATAGTCTCAGACAGATCTCCATTCAAGAAGGCAGTTTTCATATCAAGATGAATCACTTTCAGATTCATCTGCACTGATAATGCAAATAATAATCTAAGTGCTATATGCCGCACCACAGGAGAGAAAGTTTCACTGTAGTCCTCACCATATCTTTGTGAACAACCTTTAGCCACAAGTCTCGCTCGATATCGCACATTATTTTCAGAATCGTATTTCTTTTTAAATGGACAATGTTGTTTTTAAACAACATACTAAACATCACAGATAAAATTGACCTTCTTTTAATTTTTTGTTAATTTTGACAACTAGTTCTTATTTCTGAACGAATTTTGTACTTTTTTTAATGTAGGCACTATCCAATATTTTTATGCATTGAAAATAAGTTAATGTCAAATGTCACTTTGAAGAAAACTTTTCTAGTGGCGCGAAACTGAGTTTTGTAGCTGTGTTCGGACTTTGATAAAATATAATGTAAGTATATAACATATTTTTATTTGCTTGATTATATCTTCAATTACATATTCATGTTGTAAAACATTGAAAATCACTTGATGCTACTGTCGAATTAGGCAGAAAACTACGATGCGCATTGCCTGCTAAATAAATGCATGTTTGGTGAAGGATTTTTATTTTGCTTTTCAGCGTGCCGCGATTACTAGAAAGCGAAATTACAAAGTATTTAGAAACTCTTGAAGATTCAGAAGACGGCTTAGACGGGTCAGACTCCGAAGTAGAGGATGAAGGTAACTATTATCAAACAGCTCGAGATGGTCTTCGACTCGACCTTAAAAATAGTGATGAAGGTGAGATTGCCCAGTCTGATGAAGTGGATGCTGATCCTCCTCTCGTAATCGACAACGATGAAAATAGCCAGACCCTCCTATTTTGGAAGCCGAAGAAGCAGCACCCCAGAGTAGATCACAAGGGATTTCTAAACGACCTCTGGTTTGGCGAAAACGGAATCTTGTTACTGCTGAAGACAGCCTTATTTTTAGGGGAGAAACTCAGATAACGGAAGCATTGATGTCTTGTAACACGCCGTATGATTTGTTTTCATTTTATTTTACATCAGATCTAAAAAAGCAAATTGTAGAACAAAGTAACTTATACGCAGCCCAGAAACAAATCTCCAATCCTGAAATTATAAATGAAAATATCCTAAATAAATTCCTAGGCATTCTGATTTACACCTCAGTTATAAAATTCCCAAACACCAGGGCTTACTGAAAAATTTGGTTATGATCACACAAAAAATACTATGCCTTAAAAAAATTGAAAAAATAAGATCCACTCTCCATTTTGCCGACGATACGCTATGCTTGCCCAAAGATCATCCAGACTATGACAGGCTATTCAAAATAAGACCTCTTGAGGAAACGCTCAACTGCCAGTTTGGGAAGGTTCCCTTAGACCAAAGGCTTTCCATAGACGAGCAGATGTGTGCAACCAAAATGAGCCATTACATAAAACAATACATGCCCAATAAACCCCACAAGTGGGGGTTCAAATTATATCTCATCTGCAGTCTACAAGGATATGCTCATAGATTTGAGGTTTACAGTGGAGGGGGCTCCAAAAATAACATCTTACTTGGTGAGCCAGATTTGGGAGAGTCTGGCAATACAGTCGTCAGGTTAGCTAGAATGGTACCACGCAATGTGAATCACATTATATACTTCGATAACATCTATACTTCTGTGCCTCTCGTCACCTATTTAGCTAAGGAAGGAATTTTCTCACTGGGAACAGTAAGAGTAAACCGATTGAGAAACTGCAAATTGCCTGAAAAAAACACTATAATGAAAAAGAACGTACCCAGAGGATTCTATGAGGAAAACGTGGCGACTGTGGATGATATTGACGTCAGTGCTGTTGTGTGGAAAGATAACAAGCCCGTTAACCTTCTTTCCACTTACGTAGGAGCAGAACCAGCAACCACAGTCACGCGCTTTGATAAATCGAAGAAAGAGAGAGTTGCTATTCCATGCCCCAAAGTCATCAAGGATTACAATTCCCATATGGGAGGCGTGGACTTATTAGATTCATTTATAGGTCGTTATCGCATCACAATGAAGAGCCGCAAGTGGACCACGCGCTTATTTTATCATTTCCTGGACCTCGCAGTTATAAATTCATGGATTATGTTCAAGAAGGTAAATAATATAAAAGGAAATGATCAACTTCTCAATTTGGGTACATTCAGACTAGAACTTGCTGAAACCGTCTGCAAATTGGGTCTACCTGCAAATGGCGCTAAACGTGGTCGACCTAGTGGGAGCACAATACAAAGAGAACTTGTAATGAAGAAGTTCCGAGGACCAGCTCAAGCAATTCCTTTGAAAGACGTCAGATTGGATCAGACATGTCATTGGGCAGTTTGGCTGGATAAGCAGCAGAGGTGCAAATTCCCAAAATGTTCAGGNCCTGTTTCATTAGTCGGCTCACTGATAATAAATTTGTGGCCAACTACACACAAAACTTTTTCTACTGTTATGTTGTAATCGTTTTCAGCGGTTGACGTAGTTACGTTTACGGCTCCACAACATTCTACGGAAACTGTACTTTGATTGGCAATCATTATCTGTTTGGTATAACCAGAATAACAAACATCCTTTAGCCAACCCATGTTACACGTTAAATGTGAACTTGCACCTGAATCTATATACCAATCACCCTTATCAAATGTTCCATTAAAGAACACAGCACTGAATGCATTAATTGTTTTAGTTTTACTTTCTGAATCTTGCGAAATCTTCCAAGATTTTTGTATATTTGTATTTGTACACTGATTGCGAATGTGGCCATATTGTTTACAACCATAACATTTGACATTTGGTTTATCCTTGACAGATGACGACATTTGAGTACTTTGATTTCCACCATCTTTACCGACCATAGATCGCATAGACTTCACCTTTTTTGAATAATGAACCGATTTATTCTTGAAACTTGCAAACGCATTATTCACATCACTATCTTCCGGTTCCATGTCCATCAACTTCCCTTTAATGGCGTCCGTTGTAATAATCATGCCCGAATGTTCGATCGCCATTATCATAGGCATATACTTTTCAGATAATCCATCCAACATGATAGAACCAATCCATTCGTCATTTATGTAAAACCCGTACCTTGTAGCTTCTGACCCGCTTCAACAATTTGCGTTACATACGACGGCATCGATGTGCAATTTTCTAATCTAATAGATAGATATCAGATTCCTCAATAGGTTGATTTTCCTCGTGTATCCATAGTCATCAAACAGCATCTTTAATTTATCCCACAATTCTTTCGATGTATTGACACTTTTTATGTGAATGTAAAGAGTCGGGTCGATGGTAAGGATCAGTTTTGCTTTTGTTTTAGCGTCATCTGCAGCTGCTGGGGGCTCACCGGGTTCTGGTTTAATGCACCCTACCATTCCTCCTAATACTAGAAAGTTCTCTGCCGCAAAACACCACTCACTAAAGTTCTCGCGTCCTCTTAGCTTAGGCACGCTAATTAAATAATTGGAGCTAGATGCCATGACTGCCACTCACGCACGATTTTGATATTTTAGAACACTATTAGCAAAAATATTGTTCATCACACTGGTAATTCTAACAATAAATTCACTGATTATGATTCTTTATGAGTCTGGGCCCATAACCTAAAATAAAACAACGTGATTCAAACTGTGACGGGAAGCGAATGACACAGCTTTAATAAATCAGATAATGAAACAGATTAGTTATTATAAATAAGTATCAGGAGATGTCACCAGTGGCATCTGTATTTTGATATATTTACAACAAAAAACTTGTCATTTTCTATATCAGCGCGATGCTGAAAACGTCCAGTAGTCCACTTGAAGTTCAAATTTAGTTGCTTTTTTCTTACTGAGTGTCGCGGCTGATTATGTGGTTTTGTTCGTTGAATTCTCTTCATTGATCTAGATTATTCTAGATTTACGAATCAAATTAGGAGTACTTATTTGAGGAGATTGAAAAGCACTAGATGGTTCAAAGGAAAAAACGAGGAGATGGTACAGCGGAATTCGAAACTTGATCAAGAATAAATGATGTCGTTACAGATGGAAGGTTCGACATAGGTGAAAATTATCACTCTAAAAGAAATAAATAAATAATGACGTAGTTATATAATGCTTAAAAGTAAGAGAAGGAAACATAAAAAAAATATCCAAACTCAAGAAAAAAGAAAAAGTAAAATCCACACCAAGCAACTATGTTGAGGATACTCAACACAATAATCGAAGCTTTGGAGTGGACTCAGCACTTTTGTCTGAAGTCTGTCATAACCTTCCTTTATGATTTGAACACTTGAAAAATAAATTAAAACACAATTTACATATACGTCAACTGATTTACGTAGTATTTTTCACATTTTATGTATATTAAACTATTTAAAAGAAATTATTTATCTGAACGACACGAAGATAGCTCGGTCTGGTCGCCATCTTGACCTACTACTGTCAAAAATAGTGTTGCTACGCGGCAAAAATACAAAATGCGTAAAAATAGATAATATGATATATTACCAATAATTGCAATATATAACAGTTGGTTCTTGCATCACACAAAGGTACATTTTCTTAACAAATTATTAACTCTGTTTTTTTGCTGTTTTCGAGAATTCATTTTTCCGCACTAATTTTACAAACGTGTGTACACCATAAGAAATATAATATAGAAATAGATAATATAGAAAAATAATATCCTCGACTACTGACGAAGTCGAGAGTTGTTTTGTTTCTGAGTTTCATAAAATTTACTATGGTACCTGCCTAAAGTAAAACATAATTATAAAAATTTAGAATTTCTTCATTATTTTTAAGTAACAATTCCTATTTCGTACTTAGGGTGACATACCATTTTGGAATTTGCTAAAAATATACAATAATAAAACAATATTAATTTATTTATTTTTACCAAGATTTTCAATGCTGTTGATTAATTTTTCGAACATTTTATGCTGAGATACATTTACTTCAGCTCGAAGTTGTGCAGCGTTGATTTGCGTACGGGCAGCCTCTGCTAAAATTAAAGCTGCATCAGCCAGTTTCCCTTCAACTTCCACGGGCTTTTTTCCAGCTCTATAACCCAGGACAAGTCTATTCTTGTTTGTTGTCCTATAGATAAAATAATGATTGGTTATTATTCTGATTGTAGTGAGTGAGTGCAAAGAGTGCTTGGCTATGGAATACAAACAACTTACTAAATTTCAGCCTGGTTGGTATTCGCAATGAAGCTTTTTCTAAGGTGACTTCTTGGTCGACGAGAAACTGGGTTAACTATAAAACAAATATTTATGTATTAATAATAATAATAATAATAAATTTTTATATCAGAATTAAATTCCATATGAAGTGTTAGTAATACAAAATCTTTCTTAAAAAAAGCAGTTAATTTTATTTATTTTACATTGACCATGGCCGGTCTTGAGCCAACATGGACTTATTCCAGTGCCTCAGTATAGGGCAGCAATAGCGACTCCCTATCCACGGCCAGGAGTCTGTTCGGGCTGTCCCGGAGCCGGCACCACGCAGAGGCCACGCGCTTACGAATGATCGCTGGTAGGACCTCTTGTGAGTCCGCACGGGTAGGTACCACCACCCTGCCTTTTTCTGCCGTTAAGCAGTATATCGTTTCGGTTTGAAAGATGGGGCAGCCATTGTAACTATACTGAGACCTTAGAACTTGTGTTGTAGATATCTGTGGGCTCCAGTAACCACTTAACACCAGGTGGACTGTGAGCTCGTTCACCCATCTATGAAATAAAAAAAAATCAAGTCATCAAAAATAAACTCAGCCTACTGTGGCAAAGTCTAGCAAATCTATTAACCACTACTTTATCAAGTATATCAGCATCTTACCTATAATATCGTTGATTGGCTGTTATAGCGTTGACGGGATCATCTCAGCGTGAGCAGCATCTGTTTTACAAACTATTACTGGAAAGACTCTATACAACTAATTCATTTCATTTGAAGTTGTGTCGTGGCCTATGCCGCGTGGATAAGACGCCCTGCGTATTAAAAGTGATATATATATATAAAACATGGTCTTTTATTTAAAATCAAACCTGCGAATATTCTTTACGTAATCTTTGACGGTAGGACGGTTAATGATCCAAATCCAGATACAAAATGCAATGGCAATAATATTAAACTGGCGTAATAATTATAAAAGTTTAAAAATAACTAACAAACACGTGTTTGTCTTCTCTAGGATGGAGAATTGAGTAAATGGGATAGATCTGGCGTTGAGGCGGGAGGTGGTGAATCTGAAATTTATTTATTGTTAATGTTACAAAAATAATTAGTTCATCAAATGGGATTAATTTTACCTTTTTTTTTTTATTGCTTTGATATGTGGACGAGCTGACAGCCCACCTGGTGTTAGGTGGTTACTGGAGCCCATAAACATCTACAACGTAAATGCGCCACACACCAAACTACTATTTCCTGGGTTATACCCTGATCTTCGGAAGTGACAGCCAATCCCGACGATAGGGGTTCCTTAGGAACAATAGTGGTCTAAAATAAAGTGACATAAACCTTGGTTTTTAAAGTTCAACTTTCACGTTAATAATTATAATTACATGACGTAAATAACTATTATGATTAAGCATTAATTACAATAAAAACGTTATTAGTGTTTAGCATTACATAATTACAATTATTACTCACAGTTATTGCAGGTACCCTGTGCTATGCGTCACTTATTATAGCAAAAATTTTTTTTTTCAATTTTGTTTATATCGTCCTGGCTCGCCGGTCCACCACCAGTACCATAAGCATTCCTTTTCCGTTCTGCAGCTTTGGCTTTGACCTTGTGCTTAAGGTCAGCCCGGTACTATGAATGTAAAGATTCAAACATCATCATGCATTTAAGTGAACGAACACGAACTAAGGCTACTAACAATTTGTGATATTAATTCTATATTAAAACTCACCCGCTTCCATTGTTGGCTAGTTTTTGTAGCACCCAATCCGTGGGCATTTAATTTCGAAGCCAAATTATCCCATTCCCGAGCAATGGCTTCTTTGGATCTGGCTCCTAAACCGATGCCCTTAACGAGATGTGGATGCGCAACTAAATAATCCAGCAATTCGTCTAATTGTGTACATGATACGCGGTTTTCCATTATTTTTAAATACCGATTTTACCAAAAAAGGCAGATTCGTAAGTTTGCCGTGTATGTGACGAAAAAATCTTTGATTCAGAGGCATAAACATTTGCAATATCAGAATCATCTACAGAGTAACACAAACAGAGTTGACACATATGATTGCACAGTTTCGTTCGACCGCGGGGGAGATATATTATCATAAAAAGATTGAAGTAGATGTAGAGGGCGCAGAGGGATTGAAACATTGCTGTGAAAGTACACGGGGTGGCGGCGGTGGTGGTGGTTGAAACTGTGGTTGGGTGTAGACATTATTGGCTGAGGAACTATACGAGCTGGTGCTGGTTGGGCTGGGGATATTATTTGTTGGGATAATATATAAGGTTGTTGTGGTTGAGGAAGAATGCAGAATTATAATTATTATAGTTACTAGAAGATTGGGTATAATATTTTAGGCTGTACAAAATCGTAATCGATTTTCTGATCTGGTGTAATTGACTTTAATAATGGAACCAAAGATAACGCGAAATAATTGTCTGGGTCTGGTAGTGTCTGGATGTCTTGGTGGTTGGTTTTATTTCTGTCTAATTAAAGATTCTTCGAAACTTTTATTCTTCTTCTTTTCTTGTCTTGGTCGTGTTATTGCTGTAGAAGAATCGCTCTCACTAATGCTTCTTCGTCAAGCGATGTCACGTTACTTGAGGTTTCTCTCCCTTGGCTCCATAAAAGGCACCAAAAATAGTAACTTATTGAAGAACACGTATTGTTTTCGTTTAGGTGCAGCTTGCCCTAATTTTACGTCTTTTTGACAACGAAGCTCCCTCGAAAAACATGCTCTTAAATTTTTCCAACAACGTTGTATCACTAAAAATTTGCATTCTTTTATTTACAGGTATTTAGCAACTGGTGCAAGTTTCATTACATGATCTTTTGAATATCAAATTGGAGCCACAACGCTTTGGAATATTGTAAATTCAACATGCCAATCGATATGGGAAGCATTGCAACCTGTGTACATGGCAGAAAAAAATGAAGAAGGTGGGTATAAAATTGCTGATCAGTTTCACGAGCGTACTAACTTTCCTAATATTATCGGTGCCGTCGATGGTAAACATGTTGGAATAAATCACCGTATTCATTGTAAACAACTGTTTCTAAATACCTAAGTTTCTCAACATCAGAGTTGCTAGCAACAATGTTTACAGCCATACTTTCCATCCAAACGCAAGTCTACATTAAAATGTTGCCCGAGGAAGTAGTGTTGTTGTGATCTGCGTACCTTATAATGTTTTTTTTCTATAAAAAAAGAAGAAAAAAGAAGTGGTGGGTGCGAAATGCAAAAAGATAAGTGGTCTTACGTTGGCAAATAGATCCTTTATTAACTTTATGAGGACGTCAAAAAGTGATTTCGAACATCTTTTAGAGTTAATTGATACGTCAATAGCTAAAAGAGCAACAAATTTTCGACAGCCAATTTTACCTCAAACAAGACTAGCTGTAACATTACGGTATCTAGCATCTGGAGTAGTGTGTAACCTTTCAAGTATGGAAACAGCCTTATGTAAAGTGCTTCTTCAGCACTACTGTCTTGTAACGAATTATACCTTTTTACACAATAAACCGGTCCTTCAAACTAAATGGACGTATTATTTCAACTCTTCTAATCTATCGTGACCAGACCACACCACATGGCGACCATGCCAGGTAGCTGTCTACTCTATAGCTACATGCACCTACTACAATATTTCTCAATCTTCAAGACTTCGGGATATTGATTGATTTTGGATATTGAATTGGCATCAGGATTCTCGCGATTTTTGGGATATCGACGTAGAACACCAACCAAGAACGTACAACGCAAAGCAAAGAAGAAGTGGTCATTGCGCAGTCTGCAGCCGGGAGCAACCACGCACAAGCGACGGCGGAACTCCTTCAGACGAACAATATTTTTTTGTCCATAATATGCGTATGTATGCTGCTGGCGGTGTTGGTCGGATTCTTCTGCCTGTACAAGCGATGCCACACCAACTGGATTCAGAAACAGCTGAGTAGTGACGCTTTGCAACGAGTTCTCGCGCGTGTAAGCTACCGACGTCGCAGGGAAATCAGAGAGCATGAGGACCCAGAAACCAAGTTGTAAGAGTGACCAACAAGTAAGTCGTAATCGGTAATACCTACTTATTGAATTAGATTATGAGTATAGAATTAAAATTATCAGATATTTATAAGCAATGAAAACATTGCACGGATTCTATTTCTAAGTTAGGTCCTTCAACAAGAGTAGGTAGTAATTTAGAGAATAATATTTCAGAAGCTAAGAACTTGTATGTGTCGTTCAAAAATATTTTGAGTATTTTACCTAAAGATCCGTCTAAAGAATTTTTATGCTCATATTTAAACAAATGCTATGATAAAATTTTGAAATTTGAAATGATAAATCTGCCACAATATCAGTGTCAGGTAAAAAGTTTAATTTAAAGACGGCTGTAAGCCTATTGCCTAAAATGACCGGTGATGAAGAGGTAACTAGTGACTTAATTTCTGCGATTGATTTGTCAATGCTTGCTGATGGTAATAAGGCGATTTTAATAAATTTTGTTTTAAAGAGTCGATTAACTAGTGGAGCAAAAATGCGTTTAGCTACTTCTTACCTTAAATGGGTACAAAAGGTCATGCCCAGGTAAAAAATGGGTTAGTTACTATTCAGACTTTAGAGTGAACACACCGGAACAACATACTCCAAAGAACAATACCTGAAGATGGATACAACCCCTGAAGAAGCCGCTCAAATCATAGCGCTATTGCAAACAGGACTGCGACAGGTTGACGTTACTCGACAGTTGAACCTTAGCCGATTCTCAGTTCGACAAGTATACCAACGGTTCCGTGAGACTGGTGGGTATACCCGAAGACGTGAATCCGGAAGAAAACGCTGCACATCAGAAAGAGACGACGGCTTCATTGTGTCCACGCCGTTGCGTCACCGCTTCAGCAATGCTGTTGAGGTGCAACAAGAGCTCCGATCAGCTCGCAGAACGAGTATATCTATTCTGCAATGACAGAAGAGTATACGCAGAAGAGTATACCGAAGAAGAGGAGAGCGTTTTACCCATGATTGTACAAAGGAATCCGTCGAATACGTAGTTAGTTCCTGTATGTTCTGGGGTGGCATATCCGTTGAAGGGAAAACGGAGCTTGTATACGTCTTCGGACTGGCGATGGTCGGGCAAGGGTCGCTGAATGCTGGGTGCTGGGCGGTACATAACGGAGATCTTACAAGACCATGTGATCCCGTATGCCAGTTTTGTTGGTGATAGGTTCATATTAATGCATGATAACGCCCGTTGCCACGCTGCGTTTGCTGTGTGGGACTAATTGGAGGCTAAGGTTCCTGTTAGGCAGTGGCCAGCACGAAGCCCAGACCTGAACTCGATCGAGCATTTCTGGAACGATGTAAAGAAACACGTACGAGCACGAGATCCTGCTCCCGCCATTCTCCAAGAGCTCCAGAATGCCGTGACGGAAGAATGGGAGAACATACCCCAAGAGAGAGTGGTGACCCTCGTTACGTCCATGAAGGATCGGAAGGAAGCTGTCATTAAGGCAAGGGGAGGAAAAACTAGATTTTAAGGACTTATTTGTAATTTTTTAACGTTTTTAATTTTATTTTTTGTAGCTTTGTCCCTCTTTAAGTTTTTTTTTATAAAAAGGCTTAAAAAGACATACACAAGTTTTTAATTTCTAATAGGCAATTAAATTACCATTCCAATGCTATATTACAACCATACCCTTACTATTGACAAAGTTTGAGTAAAAGTATTTTAAAGTTGCCTTTTTAAAAGATGCGATTTTTTGACGCCGAGTGTAGGAAAACCTTTAAGATTCTTTGGTAGAAGTCTATCTTTTTCAGTGATTTCATGCTCTTGAACAATTTTAATTGTAACTCCTCGTACTGCTGTATTGAATCTTTGTACAAGACTGTCAATATCAGTTATATTGTTCCCAAATGCGACTTGATGATCTGTTGATCTCTTGAGCACTCCACCAACGCCATGAGGTGCACCTTTTCCATGTCCACATTCGCAATAGTGCCACACCATACACTTTTTTAATTTTTTTATTGCTTAGAAGGTTGGATGAGCTCACAGCCCACCTGGTGTTAAGTGGTTACTGGAACCCATAGACATCTACAACGTAAATGCTTTTACTATATTGCGTATTTTTTGTTTTTCTGGACTAATATTATTTCTAATCTTGATGGTAGGCAATTTAATATTCGGGCTGGTCTTTATAATTTGTTCTAATCTAAATAATCTTTTGCGATACATTTCCTTCTCTTTTTTAATTTTTGTTATAGTTTTTGTTAAAGATATAATTTCAGCGGATTTTCGTTTTTGGTATTTTCTTAATTTATCATTAAATTCTCTTCTTAACACAGGAGAATTTGTAGAAATATCTGATACTGGACTATTTCGCGCATAACTTGAAACTGGCGATTGAATACTGTCAATACTGGGAGTGATTAGGGGCGAAGATGCTCGATAAATTGGGGTATTTGAACGATTAGTATAAGGAACTCTTGGAGGATTGGAACTGGTCTCAGCGGAATTTGTGTCGGAAATACAATCAGTGAAACTAGGTTCTTTTGTCCGGGAACGTAAAACTAGAAGATTTCTGAGGTGTCTGCAAACTGAGTAATTGTGTATGGAATGAACATGGAATAGGACTTTCATAGCGAGGCAGTAAGGCGATATCCTGTCATCGTTTAAAGATGCACAAATCGGGCTTAGGGGGGGCTGAGTGCTTGTTAGTTGTGTCCTTTTTTCCATATCGTAGTATGCTTTAAAATTAATCCAATTCCGTTTTTGATGAGCTCTGCGAGCACGTGGCAAATTAAATCTAAAATCCAAAATCCATCTAAAATCTTCCAGGATCTGCGGTATCCGTGAGTATATAGGCAGGTTTTATTCATTCCATTGTTACAGAAACTGGTTTCCCTTTTATCAACAGTATGAGAATACTCTATCGTTCCTTTCCAGTATTTTGTGAGGTCTACTATAATGTTATAATATCACCTAGTATATTAATTAATTTACCTAAGACCGAAAAGTGCGTCTATCAACACTTTCCGGTCTAACATATACTTACTAGAGCCCCGTTGGCTCGATGTCAGTCACTCTGCGTCGTTACAATGAGCTACACTCTTTCTAAGTAGAATTTTTGTATCTTCAAAGTGCCTTGCTCGGATCCAGCAACCCCAGTTGCTGGGAAGTTTCATCGTCTTTTTGTTAAATTGGTGAAGCCGTCATAGTTTCTAGTAATTTAATTTAAACTAATTTCGTTGATAACTTTCTCGTGTGTTCGGTATACGACACACATGTAACATTGTACCTAACCGCTAATTTAATCTTTGTAAATTATTATAACCATTGTAACTGTGTTATTTGTATTGACTAAACACAAGTGTTATATTGTAATTATTTTTATTTATTGGTCTTCCAGAGCGGTAAGTGGTGGCGCCCTGAGATCCTCCTCACAGTCTCCTGTTCACCGGTTGTCTACCGGTGGTGAAGTGTCTAGAAGTGGTGCGACTCGGCCCCGTGTCTCTCGACCCATAGACCACCTTTTGGGGAGTGACGCGACTGGGCCTCATGTAACATCAGCATACCAGGAACACCCTTAGACACAGACACGTTATAGCCTCTCACAATTACTCACCGAAATTTCGCTATCAAATTGCAAAAGTAAGGAACTACCAGGCCGTACAGCGGCAATGGAGGACCTCGCACTCCATCATTTTACTATCGGATTACATCCGCGGTTATCTGCAATTGTGAGATGCAGGTCTCCCAAAACTCTTAACGAAGCTATTAATATTGCAATTTCCGAAGAGCGCATTAAACAAAGCATGTTCAACAAACGCCCTGTAAATACGGAAAATAGATTTTCTAAATCTAACAGAATTGATAATTTTAAACAAACTCTCTGTCGTCCACAGATCTATCGTCCTAATCCTAATAATTTTAACCGAAATAATAATTTTAACAATAGCTTTTGCCAATACTGTAAATCCTCCGGACACTCTATTGAAAATTGCAAAAAGAGAGAATTTAAAAATCGTGTTCGTGAATTCGAAAATCCATCTTCTTCCGGTTTCAGACCACAACGCGTAAACTTTGTTGATAAATGCGAATACGAAAATAACACAAACGATTACGAGAACAATTACATCGAACATGGAAACAATGACAACGTACATGAAAACGGTAAACCAAAAAACGAATAGGTGGCCCGTATCGGTGTCGTGCGAGGCACACAATATTAACAAATTCGACGCTGCTCTTACTAAGACCATAGTGTCACCTAATAATAAGAAATCAAACATGTATCCTGAGTCCACTGAGTCCCCTGAGTCCACTGAGCCCATTAAATCCACTAAATCCACTGAGTCATATAAAACAGAAACCAATAAAATATTCGAAATAAACGTCGATCCTACAAAAAAATTACTTCCTTACGTCTTAATCGATTCACCCATATCGGAACTCCCACTTTCCTTACTCATTGATTCAGGTTCAGCAATTTGTTTGTTAAAATACTCTTGCTTCCAAAATTTCCCCAAACTTATAGAAGAACAAATAACTTTAAATTGTATCAAACCAGAAGTAAACACTACAAAGACAATGGGTCATTTCACAATAAAAATGAAACTAAATAGTTCATCCCGTGACTCAATAAATCACAAATTCCACGTCATAGACAAAATTCATCTGCCATATGACGGCATCATCGGACCAGATATGCTGAATCATTTCGGCTGCATGATCGACTATACTAAATATCAACTTAAATTAAATAAAACATATTTACCACTCCGTTTTAACGAACCAACTTATACCATACCTGCTAGATCAGAAATGATAATCGAATGTTCCGTTTCAAACCCTGAAGTTAAACAAGGTCTTGTCTTAGATCAATCTCAATTAAAGGATATCCTAATCGCATATTGCCTACTTAAAGTAAAAGAAAACAAACGAATAAACTTAACTGTAGTAAATATATCTGAGTCTTAGGAGATAGGAGAAGTTTTAGGAAACTTTAACTTCAAACCTCAACATAAACTTAATTCCATTAGAACCTTCTTACATTCAAAAGAAACCTCAGAACAATACTCAATAAATACCGTTCAAACCCAAAATACCTTCCAACGAACTAAAGAGGTCCTTTTTTTTTTTTTTTTCGGGGGGAAATCCTCATGGCCTACCTCCGCCTTGGTAAAGGCGGAGGGGGGTGCCGGACTCCTACCGGCTAAAACCACCCCGGTGTCCACCCACACGTGCGCGCAGGGCCGCGGGAATCCAAATTCTTCCGCAGCCCCACACCAGTGCTGGCCTGGTCTGTCCAGGCCTCGTCTCCTGCACGGGGTGGTGAGGCGTTCACCTACTCCGTGCATCGCCTCAGAGGCACGCGCCGACACCCGCACGCGCCTCCGTCTCAGGTCCATCGAATAGGGGGCGAGGGCTTTCCCAAGTCCCTCGCCCCTGGACTCATTCATGGGGGGCGGAAAAGGGCGTTGTCCGCCCTTCTCCTGCGCCCGGTGCGCCTTCTGCGGCCGGGGAAGGGAGTCGAGATCTCCCTTTCTCGTTCCGCAGTTTCCTTCTACGACATCACGTCCTCGCAGAAGGACACCACGGCGTCCCACGACTCTGCGCTGCCGACCATCCTCCGCACTACGCCCGGCAGCGACAGATCGTTTCCTACTTCATTTGTGAGGACACGGCGCTGCTCCTCCCAAGCTACACACTCGGCGAGCGTGTGTTGCGCCGTGTCCTCCCCGCAGTGGACGCAGTGGTGGCACCGAGCGGCCGGCTCCCTGTCTATGCGGCACAGGTACTTGCCGAAGCAACCGTGCCCCGACAGCACCTGTGTCACCCTAAACGACAGGGAGCCGTGCCTTCTTCTGAGCCAGTCGTCGAGTACTGGCCGGATCGCCTCGACGGTTGCGAGGCCGGCGGTAGGGCGCAGAAGCCTTTGCCGCCATTCCGCCACCAAGGCCTGACGGAGCTCCTCGCGGCGCAGCGCGATCTGCCGCTGCACCAGCCTCGAGCCCCGTGCCCGCTCTTCCTCGCGCCATCGATATAATGACGCGAGTACTTTCGCATCTAGGTCCCAAGGCGGGGATCCGGCCAGGACGCAAGCCGCCTCGTAGGAAATCGGTAATATCGCGTAAATCGTAAATCGCGGTACCCGCGGACGACTCTGACGGCCATCACCCTCTGCAATCAATACAATATAATGCAATAACAGACAATCATTACTTACTTTGTATAAGTTAGGAAAAAACAAAAGGGAAAATGGACAAACAAATTCAAACTAAGGAAAGGATCTTATGGGCTTGTAAGTTGATAAACAAAGCCAAACCAGGGTCAATAGAAATTCTCAGGGATAGCACTATTGCAAATATTAGATCAGTCGAAAAAAACTCTCGTTCGATAAAAGACAAATGCACCATGCACCATGACGAACATCAACGTAAAATTTCCTATAACATTTAAATGCGACAAAATAAACATAGAGATGGTCCCATCTGAATTGTATTCTGTAGCTAGTGACAATAGGAGAACAGGAAGAGCATTATGTAAAACAGATATGATCCAATGGTATATC